GTCACTGTTTACTGACATATTGTTTTCATTACCAGAGAAATGCATCTTGGGATATGTTGGACCATGAAGGCTCCATCTGTTGGAGCCTTCATGGTCCAAGAGATGAAGCAGAACGAAATTGCATTACTCCTAGCTCAATGTTCAGTCATATAAAAAAATGTATTAATATAAATAAACAAACATAAATAGACATAATGGACGTAAAAGACGAGCTGGACATAACAGAAACACTTCTTCAGATTAGATTGTACATTTACTGCAAATCGCACATTGTCACTGAGAGCTGTACAGGGCGCCGCCATCTATTCAGTTTCAGATTTGTTTTCTCGTAGAAAAACAGAGAAGGTGATTGACAGAGCAGACGTAGCAGATAAACAAAAACATAATATTTGACTTCAGTTGGACTTTAACACAAATCTACAGACACAGAAAGACAAGTAGAGACGTGGAGACAGTCAAAACGTCAGTGACTCAAACACAGAGAAAACAGAGACACAGATAGAAACAAAGATTAACAGACAGGAAGTCAGATCAGACAGATAACACAGGGACACAGGGACTGACCGGCAGGTAGACAAATAAAGTGATGAGGACACAGGAGCAGGTAGAGACAGCTGATGGTAGCAGCAGGGAGACAGAGACAGACAGGGTCTGACAGATGGAGGAGGGAGAGACAGGCAGCGACATGAAAGAGGCGGAGACAGAGGCTGAGGCAGGTACTTGTACTAAAAGGTCAGTGCTCCTGTGATAAGGCGCTTGGACAGCATGCTCACAGCGAGCGCTTGTCAACACAATGGCAGTGCACTTCACTGGCCACAGTACACTCAGCAGAGCGGACGAGGACGGAGGCCGGGAGAAGACGTCGGCAGGACGCTGAGTTAACGAAACACAATGTGACGTCTGTGATATCAGAAGGGCAGACAGGAAAACTCTTTACCGTCCCACGGCCGAGAGAGGTCTTGATGAACCTGCTCAGGAGCGATAACGATGTTACAGGATTCATTCTGATACTTTACACTTGTTTTCTGTTTCTGCCGGAGGGAGGACAGGCGTACGGTGCTTCAGCGGTGAAGTGTCCTCTCAGGAAGAACAAGTGTGAGACTAAAACAACTAAAGATTTAACTAAAAAGAAAAAAGAACAACAACAATAGTAAAAGCTTGACACGATTTGAAGCCGACTAATTATGTTTCTGGGAAAAACTAATCATGTTTAATCAATAACGTGACAGTGCAGTGGTTTCAGTAAACCCTGAGACAATTCCTGGACCAGTCTCTCTTCATATGTCAACGCTTGTGTCCACTTTAACATATCACAACTACTGGGGGACCATGAAAAGTTTGTTCAGACATTCATGGTTCCCAGAGGATGAACCGTTCTGACTCTGGCGCCACCTGCAGGTCAAAGGTTTTGACTGTGAAATATTTCAACATCTTAGTGATCGATTGGAACAGTTTTGTCCAGCGACATTCATGGTTCCCAGAGGATGAACCATGCAGACTGACCATGTGATTTTCATATATCTCCACCACGACACTGACAACTTTATGCCTGTGCACCGGCGACAGTCAGAGCGGCAGCCATTTTGTTTTCAGGTTGTCCGTCCGGCTCATTCTCGTGGACACGATATCTGAGAAGCACCTTGAGGGAACTTCTTCAAATTTCGCACGGACGTTCACTTTGAATCAAGGATGAACTGATTAGATTTTGGTGGTCAAAGGTCAAAGGTCAAGATCACGGTGACCTCACAAAACATGAATTTGGCCTTGTGAACATGATATCTCGCCTTCACATTCTTGTTATTTATTACTTTACCGAACAAAATAACTGGGTATGCACACAGGAACTCCAGCCATGTAACTGCTGCACATCCAGAAGCTTTAGGGTCATACCTCTAATCATTATCACATGATAAAAAATTTACCTCTCACACTGTCGGTCCTCGCTCAGAAGCATTTTATGTTGTGAGGAAAATCTACTGAAGCTGCTTCAGGAAGAGGACGCTGGTCCTCAACCTGAGCTGAGGTTTAAGTTTGTGGACAGACAGAGACATCACTTCTGACATTAAGGACATTACTACAAATGATCTCCACTGCACTGACTATACTGAATATATAATTCACTCTGAGCCAAGAGCTTATTTTCTTCTATAATCAGCGTGTTTACAGGAGCTGCTCATGGAGACGTGGATGAAAAGATCAGAGTTGCCAGATCTGACATTTTCATGAGAGTGCTGTGATGTATTTCGACCACGTTGTTCTCTGACCAATCATTTGTCTGACTGAACCCTGCTGCTGTATGCATAATGTTTGTGTGTGTGTGTGTGTGTGTGTATTTTGTTTGTATATCTGTGTGTTGTGCCCCTTTTATATGTTTCACCACATTTGTTCACATGTGTGTATTTCTTTAACGGTGTGTGGTCTTGGGTGTGTGTGTGTGTGTGTGTGTGTGTGTGTGTGTGTGTGTGTGTGTGTGTGTGTGTGTGCATGTCCCCTATGGCTTAAGAAGCAGGGAGATGAATGGAGGCCTGTGAAGCACTGCTGATTACACGCCCATCTCCTCCCCCCTTCACAGAAAACAAGAGAACAGGAGGAGAGCGTGCAGAGCAGAGAAGAGAAGGAAAGACGAGGTGAGAAAGATGGAGGAATAAAAGAAATTAAGAACTAGAGAATGTCGTTTCTGAAGAGATCACGTGACTGCTGCTTCAGGACGAGCTGAAGCTGAACCGTGTTGCTGGCTTGAATCTTCACACTGTGAATCCCAATTCACTCCTTCAACTTAAAGGTTTATTGGAAACAGCTGCACACAGAACATTTAATTACATACAATCACATGAAAGTCATGGGGTCACCTGACACAAAATAACCGACTGACATCATGTGACGTGGCTCAGAGTCCAGATCTTTGGTTTAGGACAGAATGACTGAATAATTACTGTGACCTGGAGGATAATAAACAGATAAACTCTATATTGATGTTAAAACGTATCAGCAACTGTTTTGATGTCTCACTGCTCATGACTGACTCCAGTGTTTGTAACATTAGATCATATGTGACATTTTATATTGGTCATGAAACGACAAGCTAACACTGGAGATGAAAGGGCGCGCTATCAGCTAGCTAACATTAGCTAGCTAAACTGTAACTTAAGGCTAAAGTTAAAACCAACATTAACATAAATGTGCTAAAGCTAACATTAGTGTTCATCTGTAGATACTTGACACAATCTAATTCAGAAACTCTGAAGGTAAGAAAGTAAAATGTATTAAACAAGCTAGATAGTTAGCTAATGCTACTTACATTTACCTACAGTGTCTGTGACGGACGGGAGCAGAGACTTGAGGGCGGAGCCACTGATGTTTTTTTTTACACCCATCACTTGTTTAGAAAAGTTTCCATTTTAAGAAATGTAATAATCCACAGAGACACAAGCCACATGTTTGCTACGCATCAGGTCGTCCCCATGAGGCTCTGCCTCCTAAATGAAGCATAATATCCACAGGCAGCCATTCAACTCACACAACTCTCCTGCTGTCTACATGTTGTGAACGTATTAATATAGAACGCCTTCAGAGTTCAGTCAATCTGGTAACCGGAGGTTTAATCCTACAGTAAACTCACAGCCAAATAAACCCTCATTGTTTTCATAAGGAAGTCTGTAAATAGTAATTGAAACCACAATCGGATTTCACACTGCATATGGCAGGAGTAGTTTTTCACACTCCAGCAGGACAGGAGTAAAAGGAGTTGGAGGTGTGCAGCCTGTCTGACAGCTCACTGTGGTCTCCACTACTCCCTGAACACTGATCCACTGTCAACAACACCAGGTCAAAACAAAACCCGGAGTGGTTCTGGACCTAGAGGTCAATGTGTGAAATTGAGGACGTATTCAAAACTGTTGTGAAACCACAACAACCGCATTCGACAGTCAGAGCGGCAGCCATTTTGTTTTCAGGTTGTCTGTACGTCTGTCCCATCCTCGTGGACACGATATCTCAGTAACAGCTTGACGGAACTTAAGTAAATTTGTCACAAACATTCACTTGGACTCAAGGATGAACTCATTAGATTTTGGTGAAGAAATTCCCTCCGGGTGTTGCGGATGTATTGCGTTCATTAGGCCAAAACCGCATTTTGTGAGGTTACATTTGACTTTTGAATGTTTGTGCCAGATTTGAAGAAGTTCTGTCAAGGCGTCACCGAGACATCGTGTCCACGAGAATGTGACGTTCATGCAGACGGACAACCTGAAAACAATATGGCAGCTGCCTGACTGTCGCCGGCGCGGAGGAATAATAAGGGCTGTAACTGGTTTAAATTTGATACAGTCTGGCTTTTAAACAAGCTACCGTAGAGTCATACACCTGAAGTTATAACCAGAGACACATCCACACAGTGGAGCAGCTATAAAGGTGTGTGTGTGGGCTACATTCACATTTGAAGCTGTGTCTTTGAGGCTTTGGAGAAATTCGATGATGTTTCATTTTATATCCGTTTCCTCTTCACAAAATCTAACAACAAGAAAATATGAAGAGAGGTGTTTGCCAGCATCTGAACTCGTCTGTAATTAATGTGTTCCTGATGGTCTTTGGTTGGTGGGGAGAGAGAGAGAGAGAGAGAGAGAGAGAGAGAGACAGAGAGAGAGACTGTAAACTTGTCCTGCTCTGCATCGAATCCACTGTCCTCAAGCCACACCCATATTCCCTCATCCATGTTTTGATTGGTCGGGCTGCCAGCAACAGTCTGCTCTCCATCCCCTCTGTGCTCCCTCCTCCCTCCCTCTCTCTCTCCCTCTCCTTTCCCCTCCCTTTCACCCCGCTCTCTCTCTCTCTCTCTCTCTCTCTCTCTCTCTCTCTCCATGCAGCTCGCCAGTGAATGAGTCCAGTCAGACACAAGCTGTTAAACAGTACAGCCCCCCTCTCTCTCTCTCTCTCTCTCTCTCTCTCTCTTCCTCTCTCATCATCATCTCTCGCTCTCTCTCTCTGTCCTTTCCCGTCTCAGGAGCAGACAGTCAGCGGAGCATCGGCACGGCAACAGAGGACAGAGGAGAGAAGAAGCAGAAGACAGTGAACACAACATCCAGAAGATTTTCAACAGCAGCAGCAGCAGCAGCAGTGGCAGGACATCTGTGACATCTGTGTCTGTGACACAGTTCACAGCAAAGCAGAAGCAACAGATTGTCCCCAGTTGCAATTGTTGCTGCAGCCGACGCTCTCCCGGCTGATCCGGGGTTCGGAAACGAAGCTGATTTGCAGCAGCTCCTGCAGCCGCCGTCCCCCGGGTTTTGAAAGTCAGTTTGTCTCGGTCGCAGAGATGCACGAGGAAATGACAACGCCGCGAGACGGAGACGAAAAGCTCTGATTCAGTCGAGGGGAGCAACTGCTGGGCGTCAACATCACCTCCGCCGCCGGCGTCTCCTCCCATCCTCCTTCCTCCAGCAGGTTCTGAAGAAGAGCAGGCGTCTGAGCGGTGAATGCACAAACAGGAGGAGGACGTGAGATTGACATGCAGAGAGCAGAGTTCAGGGAGTTTCACTGTGAAACAACGAGAGCAGGATATCAGGCTTTATCAGCGTGAGACTCGGCTCCAGACGTCAGACAGTCCATCAGACTGACACCTGGACAGGAGAGCGAGGAAGAGGAGGATGAGAACGGAAACAAAACAAGAATCCAAACACTAGAGGAGATGACAGGAAGTCAGAGATTTAACTCTGCTGCACAAAGTCACACGTAGATATTCACTTTATTTATCAGATCAAGTGAAACCAACAGAAACGTATCTCCACATTTTATTTCTGGGATGATTTTGCGTCACTGGAACCTGCGTCTAAACTGAGCAACACTGACATCTTTCTTCCGCCGCCGCTCGCTGACAGGAAGTTTCAGCACCGATCAGTCGGTGTGAGAATCTTTGGGTTTCTTGCTCGACTCTTTTGTTTCCGGGGTGAGGTGGATCTGCCGTGGGGGGCAGCTGACAGCCATCCAAGACGCCGCGAGCCGTACTCCGCGTGAAGAATGCCCAGCCGCGCTTGGCCAAGCCGGCCGACCCGGGCCCGACGGCGGGCCTCTACATGGAGCGATCGCAGAGCCGCATCAGCCTGTCGGCGTCCTTCGAGGCCCTCGCCATCTACTTCCCCTGCATGAACTCCTTCGACGAGGACGATGGGGGTGAGTGGGATTGACACACACACACACACACACACACACACACACACACACACACACACACACACACACACAAAACAAGATTAAGGAGCCATACATAAAACACACGGGAAAAGGCTCATGTTATTTGTCACCTGTCTGCTGGAGAACGGATGTTTCCCTCCACACGTCAGGCAGCGTGTTATGTAAATGTGTCGAGGCTCAGAGGATACTCAGACACACACACACACACACACACCCACACACACACACACACACACGTCCTGCAAAATCCTTCCATGTTGTTTTTGTTCATGAGTGTGTCCAGGCAGATTTTTCTTTTTAAAAGTTTATTTTTTTATGCCTTATATTAGAGAAGCAGTGAGACAGAGAGAGAGAGAGAGAGAGAGAGAGAGAGAGAGGGAGAGAGGGAGAGAGAGAGGAAAGTTGGGGGAGAGAGAGAGAGAGAGAGAGGATGACATGCAGCAAAGGGCCGTGGGTCGGATTCGAACCCAGGCCGCGAGCCACCAAGGCGGCTGCATTTTCTAACATCCAGTATTTACATTATGATGTGATTATATGTTAAATGTTTGATCCCGTGGGAAACAATCAGCTGATTAACAGATGATTCATCCCACAGTAAATTAATTATTGACGTTTTTAACGATGGACGGGGAAGTCGGCTTCTCAAACTCTCTGCTTCATGTCGTTAAAATGAAAATCTGTGGGCAAAACGAGACACTGGAGGATGTGCTGTTGGACTTCAGGAGCAGATGAGTCATCTGTTGTTTGGAAAGACAAAAGGAAAGATTCGATGAAACTGAAAATATGTGACAACACACACAAAAAAACAGAAGCCAGAGTCACATGGCTGATCTGACGGGCAGATGTCCACTTAGCTGATAATGTTTGCATTTAGCTGAATTAAATGTGTGTGTGTGTGTGTGTGTGTGTGTGTGTGTGTGTGTGTGTGTGTGTGTGTGTGTGTGTGTGTGTGTGTGTGTGTGTGTGTCCAGCATGTATATGTTGCATGCCGTCATACGTGTGTTTCGTGCTGTGTTCATGTGTCACAGAGACAAACTGCTGTGAATGTAAGTCAGTAAAACTACGGTAAAATTAGACCCAGATTGGTGTGTGTGTGTGTGTGTGTGTGTGTGTGTGTGTGTGTGTGTGTGTGTGTGTGTGTGTGTGTGTGTGTGTGATGAGATTGTCAGTAGAATCAAACATTTCCTCAAATCGAATGCATTAGATGATGTAATGTATTTTTACTGCTCCATCACATCACTCCTGACTTCCTGTTTGGTTTCTATTGGATTGTCTTCTCCGTGCAAATGGAAGTAAATGATGAATGTGTTCTATAAAATAATAATAAATCTGATAAGAACTCATGTCTGCGCGAGCTGCTGCTGCTAAGTGGGTCACAGAGAAGTTGCAATTTACAGCCTGAACATTAAACTGAAGGACAGTGAAGACACAGTGACTGACAGCTGATGTCAGGAGTTAACACGACACGTGATTCTGATTTCTGTAATCGATTCAGTTCCGATTCACAAGGTCCCGGTTCGATTCACTTTTCAAAAACTATGTTACAAAATGCTTCACAAAGACAGAAAAAAATGAAATCAATAGATTTCGAAAAGAAGAAAAACAGATAAAACAGTTCAAACAATCATCATCATCTATATAAGACGAAGTGTTTCAGAGGCAGAAGTGGACACTGCACAGGGGTCAGCACAGACCAGAGGTGTGTTTATAAGCCTCTTCCTGCGACTGTGAGAAGACAGTGCTGTTGTTTATCCGCTACAGACGGAGGCTGCAGCGTCGTCAGTGGTTACAGTTTCTACTGGAACGGTTTGTCCGTCAGCTCGGCTGAAACCAGCGGCTGTAATAATCTACATGTGAAGTCAGTCATTTCAAACCCCAGAGTCGGACTGAACATGTTGGCCCAGAGCTCAGAGAGGGAAGCTCATTTTTACCACTGTCTCGAACACCTCTCACACCTGCTGCCCCTCAGAAACACACACACACACGACCATCAACACTTAACTGCTTTGGTGCAATCTGATTCTCAGCGAGCCACGGCGTCTGGAGGAGGAGGAGGAGTCTGAGAGGGAAACTCTGAGAAGGAGTGTGAGCTGAAGAAGTGACCAGTGGATGTGTGAGCAGCGGGGCCGCGTATCAAGAACTCGACCCCGCTAACGAACCCACGGCGGGTTCGTTAAGACGCATGTATTTCAATTCTGCTTTTCGATTCCAAAAGCATTTGCATATTTCAGCCGTACTCCCGAGTGAAGAGCAGTGAGCATTTTAAGGTCAATAAAAGTTGTACTTATCTGCCAGGACCTGTCAGGCGGACCTAATGTCTCTTGGTCGTAGTAAGCTACGTCAACAAAGCGTGTGGAGTTCATCTGGTGTTTACGTCCTTACGCTTCACTAAGAAAGACAAGCACACAGCAAAATACAACTTCTGCAGGAAAAATATTCCGTGCAAAGGAGGAAGCTCCACCGATGTGACGCAGCAGTTACTTCAACGCGGCGTGAATTTGAAAGAAGGCGTCTTGTTGGATGTGTCGCTGTCTCCGCCCACAATAAAGCCTCAGATAGAAGCAGCGTCTCATGTTCAGCTACATACATGTTGTTTCTGTTTATTTAAATAGTTCTGGTTTGTTTTTTCAAAGCTAGAGCTTTTTGTGTTTGTATGGGGTCGTCGTTTCTTTTGTGACGCCAACCAGGAAGAGACTGATGAAGGGCGGCATGATGGGAGTATCACCTGTACGAAGGTGTGAATGAGTTTTCAACTTGCCGACGCTGTTTTGTTCTTCTGGGCGTTTCCACGGAAACACAAACATCCCCTCACACACACAGATGTAGGTCCTCTTATGCCTATACAAACATTCACACACACACACACACACACACACACACACACAGGTACGACAGCAGTGTGTGAGGTAATCAGAGCGGAGCGGCAGGCCGTGGTTTGTGGCTCTCAGTCTAATTAAATGTTAATATGGCGGCTGATTGTGGCTGACTGCAGCTAAATAGAGGCCTGATTGCAGGTTAATTCTCTCTCTCTCTCTTGTTGTCTGTCTCATTGTCTCTCTGTCTCTCTCTTTCCGTCCACTCTTCACCCCGTGGTTTAATAATCCTGTTTGCAGGTTAACTCTGTGTTTCCACCTTAAATTGTCTTTTAATCGCTTCCCCTCGTCTCTGCTCCGATGCTTTCTCTTCCCTCACACTTCAGTCTGTTTTAGTTCAGACATGTTGGAAGAACGTTTGTTCTCTCAGCAGCAGAATAAAAGTAGAACGTAGAACGCTGGAGAACAACAGACCTCCCTGCTGTTTAAATACGTCTGAATTTAAATTTACAACATCAGACATTATGAATCATCTTAGTGACCACAGACTGTAAATAAAGATGGACGTCGCCTCTGCGCCTCACCACCCTAGGTTTCTGAAGCTCAGAGTGAGCTGCTCCACCGTCACCATCTTGGCAGCGCCTGACTCCGCCCCCTAACTCCCAGCTAATCCAAATATGGTCAAAGAGGAGGAGCCTGTGTGGAGCTGCGACTTTGATGAATGTCGGTTTAATAACTGTGGCTAGCATACGCTCCCGTTAGCATCGTTAGCAGAGGTTGAGTGAAAGAGGAAGCTGTGATTTTTTATTTTTTATTTATTTTTTGACGCGATTCTGTTCCTGGTCTGAATGTGGTCCGATCCAGATCCTGCAAATCCAGCGGAGGGTGGTCGGCTGATGAAAAATAAATGAAACGTCGTCTGTGTCCGAAAGGAAAGAAAACAGAATGAACATGTTCAGATATGTCAGTACAGCTAGCTCGTATTCAGGAATCCGTTTAGTTGTGTTTCATCGAGTTAATAACAGATTTTAAATGTAAAAGTGAAAATCCACCTTAAAATACCAGTAAATCTAAAGGGAGAGAAGGTGAATTTATACTGAATCAGAATCTCAACTTCTCCTCACGTCTCTGTCTCTGACCTGAATTTCAGTTTCACTGTTTTTCCTCTCGTGTCTCACAGATGATCACACACACACACACACACACACACACACACACACACCCTCCTGTATGTGTTATCTAGCAGCTCAGGTGTCAGATCTCTCACTCTGACAGCTGAGGTGATTCTCCTGCTTCACAGATTCAATGTAAAACTTGAGAAATGAAACGTAGACTCAGACGCTCGTCGTCCCGTCTCCGTCATCTTCATCATGTCCGACTCTGAACAACATCAAGCGTCCACTGTCTCCAGATGTTACTCACTGTCCCCCAAATATTCTCATCCTCTGGTTTCCTACGTTTCCCAGAATGCTTTTTGACGGCTCCGTCCAGAGGTGGAGAGAGACTCTTTGTGTTTGTGGCCTCGTTGTTTTGGACCTGTGTCTCACCGACACTAATTCAGACATTAGGACACATCAGGACAGAGGTGTTGAATTACAAGTCAAACACGTCCAGTTAGTCACAGTTTCTTTAAACCTTCTCTACATGATAATATGATAAAATGATTTAATAATAATCGTTTTATTTCATCATGTCAAGGAAAATAACGTCTGTGATACTAGCACCTCCCGTTCTCGTGGACACGATATCTCAGAAACGCCTTCACAGAACTTCTTCAAATCTGGCACGAACATTCACCAGGACTCAAGGATGACCTGATTAGATTTTAGGGGTCAAAGGTCAAGGTTGTGGCGACCTCACAAAGATTTTGGCCTTGTAAATGCAATATCTCCAGAACTCCTCAAGGGAATTTCTTCAAATTAGCTTTGTTGACTTAAAGTCAAGGGTGAACTTAGAACCATAGAATTTGGTGGCTGAAGGTCAAAGTTCAAAGTTCAAGGTCACAGTGACCTCACAAAACGCAGATTTGGCCTTGTGAACGCAATATCTCTGTAACACCAGGATGGAATTTCTTGCACATTCACTTGGACACAAGGATGAACTTATTAGATTTTGGGGGTCAAAGGTCAAGGTCAGTGTGATATATTATGATATATATATATATAT